CGATAATCTATCATAGTTTGTCAGTGCGCAACTATGTTTTATTCACTCGAAGCTTAATTATAGAAAATCATACTTTAGATGCTTTTCTAAGATAAGGTCTAGGTAGGTGATTTTAGAAAAAATACTCTGTGAAAGCAGTCGACTTTTTATTTTATAATTTGCTTCGTTATTACTATTTTTAGCATTTTCCGATATTAGCAATTCAATATTTGTGAATTAGTATCGTATTGTTAGAGTTCAGCTCTGATAAATTTTAATGATACTAATAAGAAGAACGATTTCTATCCAATGTTACGATGTACTAGTGTGACTTTATCATACTAATCTGCTACAGGAAAAGAAGTCCGAGAATATTGTTATGTTAATTACTTCAAATAAGACGATGCGTGTATATTCTAAGCAAATAAACATAGATATCTATCTGATTATAGAATTGAAGCTGCTACGGGAGCATGTAGCTGTTATACAAATTATTTTAATATGATTGATCTTAATCTGCCTGTAATTAACCTGATGTTTAGGAAAAGAAAAAAATGTACCACATCAGAATTATTCGCACACGCTTTTCTCAAGACAAGGAATGTAAACGCGAGCGCAAGCTGGCGTGACGCCCGAGCAGGCGGTCTTATCATACGATCTATCAAATTGTGATGCTTTTTCTTTTGCAAACTATGTGCGAAAAGGATTAGGCGAGAATATTAGCACTCTGATAATTCTGTGAACTGTCTTGCCGCTGACTAATAGCTTAAGCTGCGGACCGCTACATGGTAACGGGCTCAAATAATTATCTTCGCTGACAGAATCAGCAGACCTGCTTTGACATATATGCAGGGCAGCCATATCACATTCATGCATGGTTAATGATAACACCCGACCGCAATATACTAGCGTGTTTCAGTAAACAGAATTTATAATATGATCTATATCAACTGACTGTTTGCGTAACAGATTGCTTGATTGTTTAAGATGACTGATTCTAAGTGGGAGCAAGCTCACATCGGGACTATGCAAAGCTGCAAAGACATGTATCGGAGAATTAAACATTAGCAAGAATGTCAAAATTATTCCTGTGCACCCGTAACCTTATCGTAAATTTAATACTTTAATGATGTCTGCTAAAGGGCCGACTTTGATAAAAAAAACCCGTGGTACCTGGACAAAAGCCATCGCTCGGCGTCACCCACGGTTAGTTAAGCGAGCGACATGTCATCGATATTTTTTGCCCGGCTGATGTCTTTAACGAAATTCATGTCATTGGGTCCGATTTCTCTAAGATTAACTTTTTTACATTATTTAACAAATAGATCGAACCCTTATACGCTCGAATATTCAGTTACATGGTTTAACACTTAAAAGGGCTTAACGACTCTAACATATCCTGCGGGTTACGATAAAAAAAGACGACAAAAAGAGAATACTTCTCGTGTTTGTTTTTTAAAAGATGTCTGCCGAAGATAAGGTGCAGCGGCACTTTAATCCTCCAACCGTCCGATATTTGAAAAGGATATGATGACAACTTTTTTGTATTCTTTATCTAATAAGCACACATAACCAATACTTACTTATTTCAAAGTTTGTCTAAATAGATAAATGAAAATTACGTGTTATACGTGAGTATTTAGTTACCTGTCATGTTTACGGACCGTTTAGAAACTGTCAAACTAGCGCTATACAATGCGCAAGACTTGTTCTATGCAAATATCTCAGTAAAATATCCCATGAGTCAATTTCAATTACACAAACCGCAACTCTTGGTGTTAACTTCTAACAGTGAAAAATGACGCTATTCTAATTTCATAAATTGTAAATGTGTACGTACAATGTAAAGGAAGACACTCGCTTCTATAATTCATTTGTTTTATCAATTAACAACAGCTAGATAAGCTAGTATAGGAACTAGTAGAGCTTGCAAACATTTTGCGGAATAACACACTTGTAACGTAAAAAAATGTTGTTTCGTGTTATAAACTAGCTCTTCTTTCTCCTCTTTTTACTCCTGATGAGGCTATTCATATTCAATAGCAACTGTTACTGGGTTTTGTACAAGCTTCGGACTATATAATTTACTACAACGACGTGTCTTAAACCATTTAGTCTTCATCATCCTAACGTTTTCCCGGTTTGTTGCCTAACTCAACTTCAGTTAACGGAGCTTGTCAAGTGTTAATTATAATTAACAAGACCTCATCGAGTAAATCAATTTTTTTTAATTTTAGAAACCGCAAAATGTTGCTTATATTTTGTTTTATATGGTGCTTATAAATATTCTACCTCGGAATACAAACCAATAATAGGGAACTGACAATTAATTGTCACTGCTTCAGCCCGTCGATCTCCACTTATATTATTTAAATTAAATAACTAAAAGTTATCATATATTCTTTAAAATAATTTGGAGGTGTAATATTTTAATAGACGTTTTTCTTATAGATAATGCAAAGCATAGAGGCTTTTATTCATACGAATAATATTTGACGCTGCAGAAGTTTATAATAGGTGTCAAAGAACAATTATGTAAGTCAATAATGACGAAATATATATTATAACATAACCATCTATCATAAAGTCCACGTAATATGTATCGTTTTCATTTTCATCGTTTTGTAGAATTATTTTTATTTATTTACACTGTGATTGTTGACAGTAAATTGCCAACGTCCAATTTTCAATTAGCATGGGTCACTGGTGTCCGGCATTGATGTTCAACGTGTCAAAATAAACATTTCACCTTCAATGCCAATGATTAAAGTCAACAATTTGTCATTAAATGAAGTTCTACTCGTTGAAAATATTCATGTGAAAAATATTAAACAACGGAGCATACTAGGGTAATGTGGTCTCTACGCCAGCTCTACGTATTTTGGGTACGCGGATACTACGCGGCCTCTACGTCGTTACTTTGTTCCGTCAACACGGCTGCTACACTCCGTCTACGTGGATGCTACGCAGCCTCTAAGACGTTGCTACGCTGTGAATACGCAGCTACTACGCTTCTTCTATGTTATTCCTTACCAAATATTGAGGAGTGTGTGAAACCAAATTCTTTTTTAATATAAGGTAAGGGTATATGAAATTGTAAAAACAGAACGTTATACGATCATAAAGACTTATAAATAGATGTGAACAAAACGTAAAAGATACTCTAATTACGACTGACGCAAAGAATGACAGCAACTGTTATTTTTTGTTTCGTAGTGATTTCATTGGTGACCTACTTTGAAAAAATTTCCCTACTTTTATTGCTAAATATACCTGACTATTTTAGTCTTGATAATAGACAATTAAATATTTTTTTATACAACCGTCCTTTGCCTGAATCAATCAATTTATCTATTTAAAATATATTATTGCATTATCGTATATTTGTCTATGTACAGAAACTGTTGTTTTAGTGTTATTTTGGACTTAGTTCCGTTCCACATATTATTATATTATGTAATCTAATACCTCGAAAAAAGGCATCACACACATACATTGTAACCAATAAAAATACGAATTGTACTATGTGTAATAAGGATACCTATCCGCAACAGAATTTGTCAACATTGCTGTAGGAAGATTTAGTGTTAACTGATACGTGTTTACAACTGTCGCCTGAACACATAAATTAAGCATGCAGTAGATGGTGTAATAATCATATTATGTCGTTTCTCCCACCAGACACTCGAATCATTTGAACGGATTGAATCCCTTTTAAGCACCAACATCGCTCTCAGGCGGAGCCCCTCTATAGATCGATACCATCTCTATTACCATAGTCATTAGGTCGAATGAACAACGATACACGCGAACACCTACCAACTCTAAAACCTCCTATACATAAATACACCACGTTAGCGAGCAAGGATTAAATAACTATGCAGGGTATGTAATGTAGGTAATGCAGGGATTCGACGTTTAACGGCTTCGGGATTACCTCAATAATTCCCTCAACACAACAAATGTTTTTAGCCTGCCGTGAGGGGGTGAGTGTGGGCTCGGTGCGATAGGTTGTCGAAATGTTGGAATCTATAGCAACAGACGTGCCAGTAGGTATATGTCGCGTGTTTAGGGCGACTGAAGCCATACTTCTGGCAGACGGGTCATAGCTCCAGCTTAATACGTCCACAGTCAACCGCGACGTGACTTTACTAGGCTTATGGCAACAGAACCGCCTCTTTACACTATTAAAGGTCAAGTCACACTGTTTTTAGACAAAATTGTAGAAATATAGCACAAAAGACGTAAAGTGAGCATTAATTAATTTCTCGAAAAAAAAAACTGACATGTGATGTGTAAAAACGACATGTCTCGAATCCTAATCCCCATTGAAAATACAATGAATTTTGGACGGCTAAAACCATTTTTCATTCCAATGACAAATATTTAGAAAGTTATTTCGGAACGAACCCGCGTGCGGGTCCACACTGAGCTCAATTAAAAGGACAATCTAAACTCACATTTCTGGCATTATAATCGGACAACAGCCGGATGTTTATTTTGCGACCGCGTTATCGATTCAGGTAGTTCGGCGAATAATAAATCTATAACAACAACAATGTGTCCGCCCAGCCCAATCCCATTGTGATTTATTAAAAATATCAATCGCATCAAATTAGTATTACTCGCTCGAGAACATTCATATTTTTTTAATGTACAGGGTTCCCGCCGTTAATATTTGCGTACGGTCGCGGTTCGCACTCACGTAGGTCCTGACGACGGGACAGACACGCCCAAGGTTACTTTTGATGCTCACCCCTTTTCACACAATCGTTAAAGGCTCGTTTATTATCAATCAATTATTTTATATTATGCTAATTTTATTTTAGCTGTCCATTATGAAGTTTTTGTCGATTTATGGTACATTAACCACGTGAGCATATCACAATTGCATTTTAATTTGTTCATAACGCTTTGCGACTGGCTAGCTGTGCGCACGGAGGCCTCCTATCTACACATCGTGTCTGCATAAGCGAATGAAAAACGCGCCATAAAGGCATTTCAAAATTTGCAACTTACAGAGCACCATCTCGACAGCCTCCAACAGTCCGCCGCCGGCGCAGGCGGGAATGAGTGCGGGCGCGGGCGGCGCGAGTGCCGCGGCCCGGCCCAGCTCACCTGCCGCCGCAGCCCCTCGCTGCTGCGACACTGGCCGCCCTATATTCCAGGATCCTATCACCGGACAAACAGTCTGCTCGTGTCAATACGAGTTTCTCAACTACCAGAGGCTCGCTTCCGGCGTGCCCCTGTCTATGTACAGTGCCCCTTACTCTGACGCAGCGGCGGCTACAGCTGCTGGTATGGCAGCGTATTTTCCTGCTTTAGCAGCTGATCAACCACCCTTTTATACAAATGCTGTAAGTATAAATCAGGTATATATGATGTACATCTGAAAATTTTCGACCAGAGTAGCAATAGGTATCGGAGTCCAAATAAAGAACAATAACTTCCATTGTAATTATTTCAGACTACGTTTAGATAAATTTTAGGAACTAAATTTGTTACTGAACGAATATCAACTTTATTATACAGGTACAATATAAGAGTACGTACGGCTGTTTTCGCGCTGAACTGAATTGGCTTTATAGATGTCTGTTATTTTTATTTTTTGTTAAAAGCAATACAATAATATATTCATATACAATATATTCGTTTAGTAATAAAATAATAATTATTATGAACGGCGTATTATTAAAATTTAGATATCAATCTCTATGTATCAATTAAAATTTTAAGTGCTTAATTAACGTGGACAAAGAGTTAAAAACAAGCACGTAAAGAGCGCTTGAAACAAAAAGCCTTAAATAATATCCAACAATATCACTCATTAGTATAATAATTAAACAATCTTGAGATTAATAATGTTATTTGACCGAGTTTAGAACAACGGAGCCAATCCCTGCGGTTGACATGATAATCAGACGCTAGTGTTGCAACAAACATGAATTAAGGATATCGGATTGAATTGCAAATAAAAACGAACATTAAATTAATTCTGTGCTTTTTGTAGTGTCGAATATCGGTCACTTAATGTTCCTCGTCTCTTAATTTCCATCGCATTAGAAATCACTTTTTTCATCAGTCTGTCGATACTTAAATCGGATGGATTTATGTACATAAGTATTTCGTTTGGCTTAATCAAGAACGCATAAACAAAACTCCTTGTAAAGAAGAATTAATCTTGTGCCTGTTTTCCTTGTTCATAAGAGATATAACAGTTACTCATAAAAGGAACAGATCAACGATTAATATTTTCAAATGTTGCAGAACATTTTTAGTATAGACATGTAAACTGAAGTTGGCGCATGTATATATTTACTTGATATGATAGACAATGGTCTAATCGTTTACTTAATGAGTAAGTAGGAGGACCATTACGGGTTAAAGAATGAGTCACTTATTCATTTATAGTAAAATTTACTACTAGGCTTCATGAGTGGTCGGTGTTTATGTGACTGTGACCAAGCCACACCGAGTACCACATAGGTACTTACAAAACGAGTTTACTTGACAAGTTTCTGTCCTATCTGATACCAAGTAATTTAATATTTTATTGTTTCACTAACATCGACGGGGTATCGGTTTTATTAATTTGCAACAAAGACGTAACATGTATGTCAGTTGTCAGCTAATACCGTAATATTTAAATTACAATGAATTTTTTACTAGTATTTAATATGTAAGTACAATCGAAAATATGCTGAATACTAAAAACAAAACTTAACCTTTGTTTTACATTAATAGTATTGTTGTATTTTAATCTAGGCCATGAACTATCCATATTATACGGAATTTCATTAAAACTTGTTTGGCAGATTTGGCATGATAGAAGTATTTAGTATAGGTATTATTTATTAGGTATGTCAAATTTATAATATAAATATGGCAGGGATAAAGACAATTTCAAGTACGATTGCAGTACAATGATAAAAGCTTTCAACAGACACAGTTCACAAATGCACTCAAGCACAAAAACTCGTGGCTATTTAGCAGGTGTGTAAGTACCTGTCTATTTTTTTGAATTCCCAAGTACTTAGTACTTATGTTAATTGTCTAAAACAATACTCATATTCTGTACCTCTTGTACATTGTCACAAACATAATTAACGCGTCCAACACAGTTGCTTATCTTTTTGTCCAAACTAATCTTATTAAATTATGACTTAAATTAATTACGTCGACAAAAGCTTAAAACCCATCGCAGCTTGGAAACCAAAACCGTCTAAACCAAAGGGATTATGTTCCCTATCTACATCTATGGACGAAGAGCTTTGATTCCATTTTCCCCCACTTCCGACTACAAAGAGTATTACGTTAAAATAATTAGGATACGTTGTCAAAATATTACGTTAGAGAAGTAGTTATAAGACGTATAAGAAGTAGTTATAAGACGCAGTGTTAAGTAGGCACCACAATAAGGTTTACGATATAAGTAATAAATACATATAAATTTGAATCGTAATCCGTTGATGTATGTTCTTTTGTCCATCGACCCAAAAAAGTTGTATCGAACCAGGCAGCTTTAATAACTTAATATGTTTAACAATTTCTTTCTGAGGATTAAAATATGTGTCCAGAGTCCCATATTGTATTTATACGGGATTATAAAATAATAATGTACCTATATCGCAACATATCAGTCTAATTTCGTGAACCTTTATTATTTTGAAAACGTGTTCACTATTAGTACTGGACATCACACGTACAAATTAACTTCAATGGTCTAAAATAATACTAAAACGTAATCATAAAAGTCCTCCTTGTGTTAGATTGTACCCCTCGAGACGTGTGTGGGTAGTGACTTTGAATGATAATGATCATAACAACATAAAAGTAGCAACGCTACGTAATATATGACGTGTAGTAAAACTTTTGGAGGAAGGTGTTAAAAGCCGTGAACGTGTCCCGGCAGATGATTCAATCATTCATGAAGATATGATCGTACATCATCAGTGGCGAAAGTGTTAACTCTGGCCGACGCCTTCAATGGGATCCTGCCTCACGTCGTTTTTTTAGTTAACGCCTTTTATTTTGTCTATAATTTATTATTTCATCCCGGCTCGTAGGGTATCCGTGGACTGTACACTTTTTTACTTCTTTGTTTGGTCTTTTAGCTGTCAGATTATAACGTGTTTGTTTACACTTCAAAACTTAAATGTAATGCTCTCTGTAAACAGAAATACGTTTATGAGACAAACGGAATATTTGAAGTGTCAAAATATTTAATAGCTCACCCGGTCTAATCGCTTCCATTTGCACATGTGTGGCTATGGTGACGGGAAGCCAGCGTTATTTTATGAAAAAAATAATTTATAGTTCCGAAGAAGTATCCTAAAATAAATCATCGATCTTTGCTACTGCTTTTAGTAGTAGATTTGTGGTTAATGGCCGCTGTAATTTATGATAATTATAACATGTATAGTATTGTAATCAATAGACACAAAGATTTATTCAGAAGTTTGTAAGTAAACATCAATAATTTTAACATAAATTATAGCTTTACTGGCTGTGGTTAAAAACAAAGAAAGATTTTTTATTTGTTTTTGATAGAATGTGCTTATAGACATGGTGAATACAACATAAAAACTAGATTTTTAGACGTTAAAAATAGTTTCTGTAAAATGTAGGTAAATCGGTTTATAAATTAAGTATGTGAGCACGGAACACACTGCAGCATCAGCCTTGTCCATGCTATTAAAATGGTCGAGCACTTTATAAGTAAAACATAATACTGTCTTCAACATTTATCATATTTTTATTGTAAAAATAAAGTAACTAATCATTTTTAAAAATCCGTCCAAAGTATTGTATCTACTTAGTACCTTTGTGGACTCGACGACATTTGAACGCTACCTGAGCTTGCGTGTCAACCACATCGCTCACCGGATTAACTTATACCTTCCATAAAAGTATATACCTACTGGCTAGTTCAACACACTAATGTTAATGGGATTATAGCTAGGTTCCATTAAACTCATAATGTTGATACCAATAAAGATCACGGGCAAGTTTTTTGTGCTCAAATAATTGTTTCGTTAAGACCAACACATCTATCAATCATTCCTTAACCGTATAAGTACGATGGCGATCAATTTATCTCCAAGTCAGCCAAATATTGTAGAAGTATTAGTTATTACAACAATGTTTATAACTGTATCTTTATCAACCGAGCACTTAACAAAACATAAGCGTTGCATTTTAAAACTAGTTCAATTATTAATTTAAAGCTCAAACATAGATTCACGTAGCGCAATTGGCATTTTAACTGTCAAACGCCTACGATGGATGGGATCAGCCGATTAAGTAAATATTGCAGCAGCAAAGTCGGCACAATAAATCCACAGAGCCACAGATTCGCGTTACGGCGTAGTCCGATTATTATTTGAAGTAACAGAAAACTGGAATTATATCACAAAGGTCGCAGCAACAAAGACCGACAGCGCGACTGGATTACGCTGTCGTACTTGAGTAAAATTTATTATCGGATTTTCGATTCGGCCACCAATGAAGTTGTTGGACAACAAAATCTTTTGATAGATTTATCCTGGCTGACCGCATTAAGACTCGCTCCTGAGTTATTTTTAATGTGTCGCTATAAATTTTTGGACCCTTAGTGACAGCCATGCTTTTTACGCGATCTCCGGCGCACAACCTTAATAACAAATTAATCATAATTTTAAAACTGCTGTTTATTTAATGTTGGACTTTCTTAAATAAAGTTATCTCAAGTTTTTAAGCATTTCATATTTGTTTATTTGTAAAACGTAAAAGCTTAAAGCTTAACAATTAAAACAACAAAAAATGTGGATGGAAAGATGATGGATGCACACGTCTCGTATCTTTACCCATTAAGTAATAATAGTTAAGACCAAAACTCAGAAGCGATCGATCAAGAAATCAATCCGACGAGGATCATTTTTTTAATGGATTGCTTTAAAGCTACCGGAAATATGGAAGGAGATATTATAATAAAATTACAGTTAGACGGTTAATAAAAAGTATAGCGGTGACAAATAGCAGACATTAATACAAATAATGAGTAGTCGTGAATACAATAGAAAAATGTTTAAAGGTCAAACGTTACATAGAGTAGTAGATGAGCAACTCAGATACACATAAATCGTATATGTTTACCAAATTAGTTACTCTTATACTAAAAACATGACATTTTATCACAAATATTTTGGAAATATAAACTTCAAGTCAATATATTTCACATGACAAAGCCATGATTTGGCACGTATGAGCGGAGTGGATACCACAACCTCATGTTATTCTAGTTTCAGTCCAATTTTCTCTTTACCCCCAAATCCCCAATCGCCAATCCTTAAAAGACCGCCAATTCACTTGGAACTTTCCTTGTATCTTTCTGGTTTCATGTAAGTTGATTACTTACTATTGCTTGATCATGCTGATACGTTTAGCGTTCTATTTTAAAAAAGCTTCTCAATCGAAAATAATTGTTGTTTGGTAATTTACATTGGTGTTATCGTTAGAGTAAGACAATGCATGCATTCGTCAAATGATGCATCGTGGGCAAAGTTTTGATTATTTTACGTAGGATGCTAGCATTCGTTTTATAATCGGCAGGCAATCGTCTATTGACGAATGTATTACTTACTGTTACGTGAACAACAACCCTTAGGGCCAACTAAGGGACCACTAAACAGACACTATCGCTCTTTAATTAACATGAAACTTTTAAACTGCGATCTTTAAGACGGCAAACCCTCTTGTGGCGTTGTGGAGGAGGCACATAGTCGTGCAGTGGGTTGTTACGGTCTGTTGATAAACGCATAAACAAGTGAATCTAAAATTATTGAAAACGTTAAATTATTATTATTGTAGATGGATGAATTCAATGGAAGTTTTTGTTCGTATTCTCTAGTTTCATATACCTAACTTTAGATTTCATAACTATCTATTGCTGCGTTCAAAAAAAATAAGTAAAGACGTTGAGTTTTAGTATTATCACCACATTCAAAAAGTATCTATTACCTGGAAATACCTATATTTATAAAGGTGGTACAAGGTAAAAGACCACTAACATAATAAATTACAACTGTATGTGCTAATAATCTGTTTTGTATCCCTTATTCTTAGGCTGCAGGAATCGAACTCAAAGAAAACCTTGCCGCGAGTGCAGCTACTTGGCCATACCCAACTGTTTATCACCCCTATGATGCAGCCTTCGCCGGATATCCCTTCAACGGGTGAGTAACACTGAATTTTAAATCTGAATTCCATTCTATCTACAAGTGATTTTCACGACGAGTGACTCCAAGGTTGTCTTACTAAAATCATTATTCAATCATCATTTATCTCAAAACTAGAGAGTAGTAGAAAGCTAACTCGATAAAACTGTCATTGAAAACACAGTCGGCTAAACTCTGATAACAATTGCCCAGTAAAATCGCATGCATCTATAATTCAGGTGTGTCTCTATTCATCCTGATTTACAATTCCCGTTGACAGAGCTGGGCTGCTCTGTGTCTGGCATAATTAATTTTTGAGTAACTAGCGCAGCGAGCCAATACCAGACAATGGCTGGCCCTCGGCAATTTACAGATAAGTCCCTAACGGCGCAATATCGACAGAGTAGACGTGCAAATCTCTAAAAAAAGGGTAAATCCGACGTAAAGGCTAAAATGGCTGCTATGCCCAAACTACCTACTGTCACTCTGCATTTCCTGGTTCCTGCCTATGCTACTGATGCTTTTTTTTCGCCAGTGTCCCGTTAAAAGCAAGCCTCCAAACGTTTATCGAGGAACACCATGACAGCTTTGTGGCTGCTATTGCTTTTACTATTTGATAGACTGACTTTAGTCACTTCACAAAGCCATTTGATAAGGCACTTTAATTAAACTAGATTATGTATGCCTAGTATGCTTACAACAAGTCAATTAGTTCCTCCTTGTTTCTACTTATTAAATCGAAAGTAATTTTCGTAACCGGTAATACGTCAAATACTTAATTACTGTCTTATTAAAATGAACCGTTAATTTCAAAGGTGAAGCAGCGTGTTATCATCGGTGTCACGCAATTGAGGGATAAAGATTAAGGTTCTTATGTTTCGAATTAATTAAGTGGAAGTTAAATACCAATATGTAAGTGTTTTGAGACACAAAACGAACATTTTATTCTAGTCATTGGTTTATTCTAGACCACGTAGCATAGCAACATTGTTACTGAAGTGTCAGGCGTGTGGTTTTTTAGTTGTTGTGGTTACAAAGTAAGAAAGTAAGTAACAAAACCTTATATAGCTCATACAAAAACTACTTTGTCGGTACGTAACCAAATACTTGAGCAGAGGGGTAGGTGTAGAATATCGATGTGTACGCCCCGCGGGTAAGCTAACGGTTGTACGCGCACATACGTACACGATAAATCTCATTTAGTTTACTGCACTTCAACCTGTCATTGAGGCCTACTTGTACTAATATTAAGGTTTCTTTCACACGTATTTCATATATATGATTTATTTACTACATAAATATAAATAACCAATTATATTACTACCTCGTTGGCCGAGTCGTCGCAAGTGCGACTGCCGGGCAAGGGGTTTCGGGCTCGATTCCCGGGGGGGCAAAGTATTACTGGTTTTAAAAAAAATCTCAGTGGGAGTACGAAGTCTGGGATTGTGCCCGGTATACGGCAATAGGCTGACCCCCTATTACATGGCACTCATGACATAAAATAGTGAAAAGTGGGTGTTATATGGTACAGTGCCATTAATCTCATATCACTAATCTACCTAGTGCCTACTCCTTCGGGGAAGAAAGGCGTGATGTTATGTTGTTGTTGAACCAATAACATCGTACTACTAACGACCTCTCGGTTGTATAGTATAGTATAGTACGCCAACATAGCTAGGGGTGCTTTTATTCCCATAAAGTGTTTTTCTATCTCCACAAATACATATTTAACGCATTCCGTATGGTAGGTAATCAAAATCCGTTTAACCCCTTAACAGCTTACATTAGCAGATATCATTTTTTATAAATAAGTAGGCAATTCTTGTGGAAACCTTTTGATGTATGTATATTATCGTAATCACCACAAACGTACCGATGTAGATAGGATTTGATACAGTCAACACGCTTATGTAAACTGATAGCGGCAAACTGAAAAGGTTACAAAACATGAGTTTATTAGATAATTATGAATGTTGAATCAGATTATCGAAACTGTGTCCATGTATGCGGGCGTACGGTGTGTACACAAAGCAGGCCTTTAAGTGCGCAATTGATGCCGACCCATATTTAAAAATACGTCCATTTTGACTATTGATCGGCGTTGTGACTGAGATTTACTTTGATATTGATAACACTAAGGATATCTCCTTTTTAATGTAATGCAATTTACTGCAGCATATCATTCTGCTAGTCCACAATTCACCATTTGTAGATATTTTTATTTGTATATAAAATAAATAAAAATTATATATTATTTTTGAATTGATCGATCTGATGCCAATGCTAATTTTACATTAATCGTATAATTATCGACAGTGAGTGATATCACATTTGTAGTTTAAAAGCGCTGTAAAACTGCAGAGCTTTCTTAACTTAGCCAGAACTGATTACTAATTTTAAAGATGACAGTAATAAAAGGAATTTGTAGTGAATTCCAATATAGTCATTATGAAGCTAAATAGTTGAAGAATGCGTAAATTGTGGATAGCGTAGGAGTTCCGCCTTGATGCTGCTTGCAAAGCGTAACCCGCACTGCCCATATAGTTTGACGTCCATCGTGAACTCCATAAAGATAATTGTTTAATTCAATTGTCGTAATTGGTTCACGTCGTTTCACTCGGTAAAACAAACAAATACAAGGGTTTCATAAAAACGTAGAACTCTGTACAAATGAATACTATATTACGCATACCACATAGTCTATGATGCATTAAACGATATTGCAGTAATTTAATTATTACACGCGTCTTTGGTAAAGAAAATTAACTTAAAGTTATCCTCACATTACGTGTATTTCCTCTAAGAAATATTAAAGTTTCATTTTTAATTTTCGTAGTCAAGGATCATGTAACTTTTCTAGGCAACGACATTTTAGATGCCAGAATTAAGAGTAAATTGACTTTTAAAATTTTAAACGTAATTGTGCTCACCAAACATATTTATTTGCGAAAAATTATGACAATGATAACTTTTGTACACAAATTCAATTAATTGCGTAAATTCTTAATTATTCAAAAAATAATTTTTAGATTACTGATTCACACGTGAGTACCTAGAGAGTAACATTAGCAACATATTTTTCAAATAAACGTGTCAACAACATGCTTGCCTATTTGTAAAAGAGACGTCTGCGCAAATAATTAATAAGCAAATGAATAGTATTTCATTAAACAAATAGTAAAAAGCAGGAAATCAGTGTTATGCAGAAAAACTTGCTTTACAGTTTTTGTTACAGAAACACTTCATTAGTTTCACGCCTTGGTACTTTACAAGATTTTTTCAACGATAACGTCGGCATACCTATTGATCGTATAACAAGAATATGAAAGTTAATACAATCATGGCATCGTTCACATGAACTGTTTTTGCTGCATGCTCATCGCGCCACGTCAGTAATTATAATTAGCAATGGTTTCATGTCAATGTGAGGAGGAAACATGGTTTTTACGTCACATTGATAACACATAAACTAGCCATAAACGATATCTAAGCTGTAATTAATCGACAGGTGAGCATTGTGCATAAAAATCGTATCAATTTACGGTAAACATGAGGGTTCAATATTCACCATATCAATTCCTAACAGTTAATACTTATTAATATACGAGTGTTTATCCTTTAACATGAACTTTCATTATTTAGTATATGGTAACCAAGTAAAATAAGCCAAAAACTAGAAAATTATTTCTCTGATTGAATGACATAACATGCGCCAGACGCTCCGGAAATACTTAATATTCTTGTTCTATGATCACAGTTTATGTGAACACCGAAGCAATGGATCTTGAGGTTAACTGCATTCAAGGTAGTTTTGAATATCAGGTTTAAAAACTTCTATAAAGACAGTAGAAATATCAATACGTATAATTTGGCTGCTAATCACATTATTATGAAAAGTTTTCGATGACGATTCTCAGGAACAATATGAATCTTGAATTAACTATTACATACTTCCCATTACAACGGGATACCTACTAATAGAATCGAGATACGAGTGTATGAAGCCTTTTAGGAATTAATAGTGTGAGTCTAATGTCATCGTTAACCTAACAGGAAACAAAAACATACTGCGGATATAAGTTAATAAGCGACTTAAAGAATCGTTAATAGATTGCAGGCGGTGTTAACTAAATGTAGAGAGAATGCTTTGATTTATACGTTTTTAATTGCACCGCTGTGCAGTGATGCCGCGCTAACTTCGCCGAATGAATATAGATTACGCGATTGAAACTAACTTGAGACGTTCTTCTACCTCAACGAAACCCCTCGTTAATTTGAATTAGTAATTTATAAACATTTTGTATCCTTTATTAGTGTGTATGCCGTTCTATTGGAAGTATTTATCGTTTGCTGTAAAACAGTAATTGGCTATAAAAACGTATCTGTGCTAAATAGGATTGCTAATAGCTACATTTACTTTACGCTGTTCCGGTTTACGTATTAAAAAGTGTGATAATAAAGAGTTGCTTGTTGTTGTATTTCAATCGGTCGGTGAATCGTAATAAATAATGTTAGCGGTAACTCGGTGCTGACTAAAACTTACATCTTAATTACGCATTGCATTCATAATTGACTATCACTTTTATTCAAATTAGTTAGTAGATTTCCTAACAAAACTGTATCATTAGATACTTTCTGAAGATGGCAGCAGAGGTGTAAATACAACACACTCACTTATTGTTTTTTTTAAGGATAACTTAGTATCCTAAATCAGGCAAATCAGGCTTCTTCAGGCCTCCTAGCGTATGGTTACTTAGAAGTAAAGAATAAATATTTGTCATTCAACGTGCCAATGTTGCCAGTCTTTTACGTTTGCATTGTTTCCATGCTTATAATTGTTTGCTTCAGTTTTTTTGATATCTATTTATTTGTAATTTGTAAAGAATTATATTCAGTGGTAAATAATATAATATATAAATATATTTGTTTTAACATTGAAAAGTTTATAGTATTCAACAATATCTGAACACAACCGAACTTAACATCTTATACTTGTTATCATCAGACTTTATAAAAAG